TCCTCCTCCCCCCCCTCCTCCCCCTCCTCGTCGTTTCCCCCCACTCGAGACCCCAGGCACCTGGGGCAAAACCACTGTATCGCAGGACAAGACGAAAGCAAGTTGTGGCCAGGATGAATCACATATCATTCATAATTGTATACTACTCCACAATGAGCAGATCTGGTCTGGTATTTATTTATCAGGATTCACCCACCTTGCCATCTGGCTCCTCGTCGAGGCCGACACATGCAAAGTGATAGGCTTTGTCACAATACCGGCTACCGCAAAGCTCGGTATCACAAATCACCATATTTTCGAGCCCGTCGCTTCCACACGCCGTGCACGGTCGATCGTCATTTTCCTCGCTGCTTTCCTCGACCGTTTTCGCCACCCCCCTCGACACAGCCGCAGCAGCGGACTCAGCGTCAGCGGCGGTAGCGGCAACAGCTACGGCCTCCTTCTCCTTCCCTTCTTCCTTCTCCTTCCGTTCCTCCTCCTCCAGCTGCTTCTGCCTGGTCGCCGCCCTGGCTCCCGCCGTTGCTTTTTCTTCATCTGTCCGCGCTTGACGGTGTGTATCGTGCTTATCGGGCTTTCTGCCATCGCGGATTGCTCGACGTGCTCCTCTGCCCACCAACACTACAGAAGACGTAATACTCGCCACCACCAGCGCTCCCCTGTGGAAACGCGAACAAGGGTTGAGAATACGTCGCGGTTCCAGCTAGCACTGTTCGCCATCACGGTGGACATATCTCTGTAACCTTTTACTTTACCCGACCACCCGACTTCCAGAATAATAGTGGAGCATACTGCTTCACCCTCTTCCGTTGTGACCACCGCCCCCGGCGTTATTGCGCGAGTGCCGCAGAGCATCCTCTTCTCTCGCGCGCCTTCGCCTACGCCTGTGTCCACGGCTCAGATTGCCCCTTCTGCCCCTTCCACCCCTACCCCTTGTGTGCCGACGACCCCTGCCGCAGCGACCACGCCAACCACGGCCGCGCCAGCCGCGAAGGCCCCCGCGGTTGTTGCGGCGGCGGTGACTAAGCCGACGAGACTTTTTGGACCGAGGCCCGGGTAGGATCCACGGAAGCCTGTTCGCTCTCATCCACGTCCATGCCAACCCTCTCCACGCCCACAGTTGTCTCCTCTTCCCGCTCATCGACCTCGACCGCCTCCGCCCCCTGTGCTGCTTCAGTCTCTGCCTTCCGCGCCTCGCACGCTCTCTTCCTCGCTACCGCACGCTTCTCGTTCTTGTTCTTGCTGAGAATGGTACTACTGGCGTTTGTCACAGCTGCTTTGCTCGCTGCCCTCAACTGTTTGCACAAGCGCGACCGAAAAAAAACAGAAACACCGAAAAAATGACATCAACCCAGTGATCTCCTCGGCACGCCTGCGGGTTCGCTGGCTTCCGGTAGTCGTTCCGCAAGTCCTGGGGTCGACCACGTGTACGGATACAGGCACACTGAACATCGCGGAGAAGGGATCCGATGCAGGCTCCGAGGCACCAGGCTCTGAGGCAGGCGCAGGGATAGCCGGTGCGAAGACGTTGCTGGAATCGTAGGAGAGGACGGTTGCTGTGCACAAATGACACCGCGTTGTCCTTGGCCTCCGCGAACATCTCGGGGTTCGGTGGACGAAATTCGTCTGAAAATGGCGAAAAAGCGTGCACGCGAGGGGTGTGTCACTTTGTGAACCATGGACTCGAAGTGGTTGATTTAATGCAGAACACATCCAGCGTTCTCCAGGGGCTGCATCCCGCCGTCGATGTCTGTTAGCGAACCACATTCTTTCACAATCCGCGTGTATCATAATACGCGTTCTTTTTCTAGATCTCCTGCTCCCATATCCCCCGTAGATCGGACCCCATCTCCTCCCACCCGTAACGGCCTCAAACGCTTCTTCGTCGTCTAGGAATGTCCCCCCCGCGTGCACGGTCATCATCTCGCGACGAACTTGGACCCGGTCGATGCTAAAAAAAATACACACACACCATGCCGCCCCCTCACGGGGTCCCAGTTAATGGCATTTAGAAGTGGTTGTGTTTTCAACCGCACTGAGACTGACGTCTGTTCATTGGTCAGTCGGTTAGCGTGGTCGATGGTGATGATAAAAACACGCACACACACACCCCGCCCTTCAACCCCCCTAACCTCCCCCGCCCAAACCTACCTGCTCACCCTCACCTCGCCTCAGTTGTGCGAAACCAAGGCCAGAGCCAAAAACACTCTTGTACTGATACTCACGACGGTTGTCTCTTCTGTAGCTCCAAACTTTACAATATGACACGTCCATCATGCATGGCGGAGGCACGGAAGCAACACGAGGAACGGTCGAGGAACCTCCTCAACTGGCAGAGGCTCAAGAACTTCGCCAATGGTTCACCGTACGCCCTGCTTCAGCAACTCCTGGTATTTAGTTGTTCACGGGATGCATCCACGCGGCGCCGAGTCGATCTTCATGTCGAAGAACACCCCGAGCATACGCCGCCTCGCCAACCGGCTGACCATTGAAAAAACGTCAGTCTCAGAGTGTGTGTGTTGTACGGCGAAGGCTTTTAAGGTGGGGTTGCCTTGGTCTAGTATAATTTTATGTTGTGTGGGGTGTGTGCGTAAGAAGAGCTGTGGAGGATGTTTTGTTTTGGAGTAGGGTATGCCCGGATGGCGTGCATGGGCAACCAAAAAGAGGGGCAGACAATCCACGGAGTGGGTCAAGATTGTAGAGGACGTATGGAAGGGGTTCGAAATTGACGAAGGTGAAGCGCTGGAAAGGGGGGGTCTAGAAGGGTTCAAGGAGACGAAATATATCTGTTGCTTGTGCCGAGAGAAAACAACAGAATGTAGCGAAAGAAAACAAGGATAAGGAGGGCCTGGAATTGTTGTACAAATACTGAAAGAAGGGATAGTCTAGGGTTCAAGGAGTACACCTACCGTACAGGACCAAGGGATGCAGGGACAAAGCTGAAGGTCAAATTTAGGACCTGGGACATTGGCCTTCGAGAACGAACATAGACGAAGATTTCGGATTGGAGACGACGAAGACGCCAAGTGCACACGTGTTTGCGACACCGAGTGGGAAGACCGGGTTCATGTAGTTGCGGAGTGTTCTTTGTACAAGAAGGAGAGGAAAGTGTGCATGTGACTGAACTGGGAAAAATAGAAGGATGGTACAAGTGGATGCTTGAGGCATGGAATAGCGAGGAAAAGACGGTAGCCGAACTGGGGCATATAGTTTAATAGGAAGCGGTTGAAAAGGCGGGAAGGGGTATCGTTAGGACAGACAGACTAGGGACGACGTTTTTGAGCCACCTTTGGCATAGGAAGGAACTGATTGGCCATCGGTGATCGGTCCTGTGGGGACAATGCTCCGTCCTCTCGAGGACGCGTAGTCAATGGTCTAACCTCTAAGGCATGCAAAACATGAGAGCACGCCCCCCCCGCCCTCATGTCTTTTTAGAGTCTCTTTCGTGTGTGCTAGAAGCAGAGAAGGCTTCCAAGGGTGGGAAATCGGCTGTCGCGCCGTGATCAAACGGAAAGAAACACGGGGAACGAAGCAAAAGCAGCCGGAAGTAAAGTGCAAAACCCCGAACCTTACCTTCTTACGTCGAGAACCGGTGCCCATTCTGCACGTACTCTTTCATTCCCAAGGATGATATCGTGGGGACATGAACCTAACACGAACACCTGAGTTAAATAGTACCAGGGCTGAGCGACTGCTCCAGGAAGACCAGACACGGTTTTTCGTATATACCACTCAAAATACCGTTGCAGCTTTACGAGCGAAGGTTGTCATCTCAACACGATATTACACTTGCACGCAGCACGACAAATCATCAGTTATCCCTGTTTTGCGGCCCTCTTGTCATCGCGTGTTGGTAGGTGGCGGGCGGGATTTGAACCGGGGTCCTCTGCCACAAAAATGAAGGCGGACCACCGGTTGTAGGGATACATGTCTTCGTCGACGGCAGCGCGAAAAACAAGAGCGGAGAATTGTTCGTCCTCGACGGATATTTTGGAGGAAATGTGAGCTCTCTGTAAAAGATTTAACCTCCAGAGCAAAAGTCTGGATTTCTTTTCCCCCGATAAAACGGAGGGCAAAATTGTTGTGGTATCATGAGGCTACTGCATGTAGGCCTACATGCCTTCGCTCCTCTGTTCATGGCCCCACTTGGCACGTTGAATTGAAACGAGCACGAAGAGCAACACAAGAGATTCTCACGAACTCATGCCAAAGTCGGTATTTGTGGTATACTCAACTCTTTAGTGCAAGGATGCGCTATAGAATAACTATCGTTAGTGTGTGAAGTGTGAACACGAGCAGTCAGTTCCAGGTCAAGAGCCCGGACCACAAAAGCGAATCGCATCCGTAACATATCCCATGCATGGGCAACGATGTACCCGTTGCTATCGAAATTCCGTGCGACTACATCGGCAAAGGACGACTTGATTGACGTGGTTCTTCGACGATCCCACAACGTGCCGCCTTCGTTTCTACCATTTTACGGTACGACTTCTTCTAGACCTTCGCCCCTCTCTTCTTGCCCACACCCACCCCCTTCTCTCGCCCCACCCCTCCCCCCGCCCCTACGGTGCCGTTGGAGACGGGGTCGCCTTGAAACTGAACCTCCTTCGCCTTCTTTCGTTTCGACTTTTTCTTCTTGTTGATGCCGCTGCCGCCCGCGCCAGGAGCTCCTCCTTGACCCCGCCTCTTCTCTCCCGGCGGACCTTGTGTTCGTCCGTCACCGGTGGCCTCCTGCTGCTGCTGCTGGCGCCGTTTTCGCTTCTTGGAATTTTTGCTCTTCCCAGGGGCTGGCTCCGTGACGTCCCCGCACAAGCACGCCGTAACGCACGTGAACCGGGGCTCCCCCTGCAGGATCCAAACAGCAGTCACAGGGAAAAAACACAGGAGCAGAAAGCTCCAACCGTCAGGGGGGCCGGTCACGGCGAGAGCCCTTATGTCGGGAGGAACATGATTCGCAACTTGCCGGTATAGCGGCCACTATTTAGTCCGGGTGCAGCAGTGGTGCCGTGCTAAACTCTCGAGGCCCCTACACACGCTGGGCATGCCGCTAAACAGGGACGGTCGCTAAATCGGGCCCACCCACCACTGCAGCGGTACCGCAAAGTCATCGCCCCCCCAGCGCACCTTCAGCGAGTGCGTCGAGAGCAGTGGCACCGTCAGCTCCGCCCCGGAGCCCTCCGCACCGACGCTCTCCAGCGCGGGAACTCCCCACACGTGCACCCCCCCCGAGGATGTAACCGTTGCCAGGGAACCCCCCCCCGAACCGGCACCGTCTCCGACGTCGCCGCCGTCGCTGGCGGAGGCGGCTCCCACGTGGCACATGTCGCGTATCCGTCCCGTAGGACACACGTCGCTAACGTCTACCTTGCCCTGCACACCAGCCAATGAGCAACAGTAATGGAGGTATTGTGGGTGAGGAGGAGGTTACTTCGGATGCTGAAGGCTAACTTTTTGCGCCCGCGTGTACCCCTCCCACCTCCCATCCAAAGGTTGCACATATCATACGCCGCGGGGAAGAAGCGTCTCGTGGTTGGGAGGGGGGGGGGGCGTACTTGTTGACCACGCGTCCCCGAGAGGACGAAGAGAGATTTATTCCCACAGGACCGATCACAGATGGCCAATCGTTCCTTCCTACTTTGCCAAAGTTCGGGAGGGCGGGGGGGGGGGTTGTCCTAAGCAAGCCAATAACATCAACGCACAAGGCAGTGCTAAAACTGGCCTACCGGTGTCCGCGAGCATACGAAAAAAGGACCACCTGTCAACAAGCAGAGCCCGCTTACTCCCACACCAACACCGTCCAACTCTCGACCTGTCCATCAGAAGAACGTCACGAGAGCTTGCCCTGGAGTGTTACCAACATCACCCCAACTGTCGACCTTGAGAACACGACGAGAGCTCGTCCTCACACCGACGGCACGCATCTACCAGCACGCTAGAAACCGATCGGGTTCTCGGCCCGTGAAGGGATAGGGTTAGGGTTAGGGAAGGTCGCGCCTGCTTCCGACCTACCAGCAGCGTTCCCCCCTCCGTCCGAAAGAAGCGGATGGTCGTGTCGTCCGCGCAGGTCGCCACCGCCACCGCCCCCTTTCCCCCGTTCCCCCCCGCGAAGCACGCTGAGTTCACGCGCGCGTCGTGCTTGCACTCTCCGACAGCCTCCGATGTCGCCGCGCTGTACACCGACACCGTGCTCCCGACGACCACCAGGTAGCTGTGCCACCAGACGAAAGGCAATCCACAACAAGAACAAGAAAGAGAGAGCGAGGGGGGATTGATTGGGACGAAGGCGGAACGAGAGAGCAACTCGGTGTGTGAGGAGTGGGCCGCTGTTGTTGCGACGGGGGCACGTTTGGTAGGTAGTCTTTTGGGGAGGGGCGGGGGGGGGGGGGTACTCATATATAGGGATCGATCTTCGCGAGGAGGAGATGAGAAGATGGCACAGCAGAGGCAAAAAGACAAAGGGAGTGGCCAACACTCCCCCAACTCCGGGGGCTGAGGGGAGGAGGATGGGTTGGGGAGGGGCACACACGGCCAAGTCGCTCCAACTTTGAAAAACGTGCCGACTGGTCGTTTCGACAACGGGCCGGCGGCGACGGCTGTCTGTCTCTGCGATGGTGCCGCGCGTGCGCGAGCCGCGATGCGTCTGCTGAGTACGGAGCAGGGCAGGTCGTGCGACACCCTGACGCCAACTAGCCCACCGGGCGCGGGCTATGTTGAACGCCAGAAAGCGATTATTGTATAACTGTCTTATCTCCCCGAGGAGCGTCCCTGATAGAAGGAGTGGTTGGTTGGGTTTTTCGGCACTGCTGTGCGCACGATTCCCCTTCGAAACAAACAAGAACCTCTTAGCGATAACCACTCGGCAACAAACAAACGAATCCCCCCCCCCCTTCCCCCCCCGGTCTCCCGTCCCTGGCAATAAGTCGGGGCGCGAGCAATAAACGTCACGCACCGCCGCCAACATAAAGAGGGTGAAACGGAGGCGCTAGATAGGGGAGTGGTACAACACACCGCTTCCGATTTCGTGGGTCACGAGGGCAAGTTTGGCGACGGTGCACATACCCATAACAAAATACCGTTGTTCCGGCGAGCGGCATATCA